ACCAAATATGGGCACTCCTTTTGGACCTGGAATATCCAATCGTTTCAAAACCTTTTGTATAATCCACAATAAAATCAGAGAAAATATGAAAAGGATGACTGGCAGCATTTTGGATGCTTGTAAATCTCCGTCTTAGCCTTTCATACAAACTCTTATCTTTGTTGTTACATAGTTTATATAATTTTCAGTTATAAATTAACCCAAGAACAACATGCATTATGTTTTATAAGCACTCTACAGTTAAATTGTATGTGTTGAAACTTTAAATTACATGACAGATATTAACTCCTCCAAGACAATGAATTTGACAAACAGATTCGCTCAATATTTTGCTTTGCCACTGAAATAACATTTTTAGAATGTGTTTTAACAATTTTTTATAATACTGTACTGGTCCCGAAAATGGCTAAGGTGATAGAATGATAATATCAAACCCCTTGGCCCTGCATGTAAGGCATTGTAGACTAATTAATTTCAAAGATACAGTGTGAGACCCCCCTGTCCAAAAATTCTTTCTGAATCATGCAGTTTTCACCATTCTGAACACTTTTCAAGTGATTTTGGTTCAAAATGGCCAAATGTGAACCCCGGGAAATTTTTAAAGTCAATTCCCCTTGGCAAAAGCTGACTAAAGACCTGCGATCCTATACCTCCCACCCTCCCTGATATATTCAAACTGTCAAGACCTGTCAACAACACTAAAGAAGTGTACTATTTGTTTTCAGGAAATGGATGCAGATGAAAGGAGGAGGATGGAAGAAGAAAACAGAAGACTCCAGTCTATGCCAACATGGAAACGAAATCTTGTTTTGAAAAAACGAGATGGTTAGATACATCTCTGACATTTAAACAGTTAATATCAATCAAAATGTTTTTGACTGCATTTTGAATTCATAATAATGCGACACTAGAAAATTAAGGATTGTTCAGAATATTTTAATATGAAATGGATTGGACTATAGTGTGCTGCCACCTATTAGTCAACTGTGCTGCCATCTGTGGGTAAAAACTGAATTATGGACAGTTGTCATGGTAACTTTGTATACATACTGATAAAACCAGCTGGCAAAGATCAATATACGGATATGACTTTTTATTTAGTTTTATTTATTTAGTACAAATATATTAATTCTTGAATCCAAGGTGAAATTCTGAAACCTTCCTCAATTTTGAAATCCCAAATCGATTTTGTTACTGTGACTTCATCATTTCCATGGTAACTATGCATACAATAGATATAGGGATTTTATGTTTAGCCTATTACACATGTACAGACTGGAATCTGATAAATGTACAATTCCAAATATTGTATGACAGGGCCAACCTTAAAATGTACAAAATTGTATGACAGGGCCAACCTTGAAATGTACAAAATTGTATGACAGATCCAACCTTAAAGCTGTTTATATTTCTAACCATGACATAACTTTAATGGAGGTGAAATCTGTTTATATCAAAGCAGTGTCTCTACTAATGTCTATCTAAATTTTATATTCATATACATAAGGGGAGATATAGAAATTGGTGAAAATGTCATATAGATTTCTATGTGCTATTATACATTTATCCAACATTTATTCACTCTTTGGTCAAGATATGATATTTTCCCCTCTCTTGAGCTTTCACAATGAGAGTAATAAGATGGAAAAATATTGTGCTTACAAAATCGCAATTAGAGATATCTTATGTTATATGATAAGGTGTTATCTTATAAAACAGTGGTTAACAGTTTGCATGTATATCAGTACATGTGTCTATTTACATTTAAAAATGTAAATAATTAGAAATGTAAGTAATGATTATTATGCAGTCTGTTGACACTAATTTTGCATATTCATTTTTAAATGTGATGTCATTTGAAATGTAGGATGAATTGTATGAGATGTTAAGGCAGTATCCAAATATAAATAGGTGAGGCAAACTTAAATAGGCGAGGCAAAATTAGATAAGTGAGGCAAAGAGGATATTTTAATTGCATGGGACATAATATTTACAATTTTAGTTGAAAAATATAAAGATATTTTCTCCGACAGTTTTGGCAAGGAACTGGCTCATAGCTAGCTACACCAAGTAGATGTTGTTTTTATTCTTAAAGTATTCATTTTGTACTTATGTACTTTGATTTTAATGTAAGACAAGGGTCATCAAAACTCTCTAAATTGAGATACTTTGATGAATTTATAGGCATCGGTTAAAAAGAAACTCTGGCCAAAAGGTGTCCACATTTTGAAGAATGCCGTTTATTGAGGAGTTTACATAGGTTTACTCTATTTACACTATTATCCGTAACAATGTACAGTATTTATCCCTTCATCGTTCAGTTTTTACATCAGATTCTGAAGATAAGGTTTTAACTACTTGGTTGAAAGAAAGATGGCAGCTAGGTGGTCTATATGAATCATACTGCCATCTTTCTATCAATACAGAATCTATATTTTTAAATCCAAAGGTTTTGGTGTTAGCACCAAATGTTTTTGTATGTATGTTGTTCCCTGTTTTGATTCAGGCCTTGCATCAAGAGAAAATTTTTGATTTTATCAAATTAAATGCTACATGTGCACTCTTTTTTTCATGATTTGGCATGAAAAAAGATGATCACTATTTCTGTATAGTTATTTTGGCAGTGTATACTAAAAGTTATAGCCCTATAAAATAAGAGTCTCAAATTGTAAGTCATCTCAATGATAAAACAAGCATCACAATCTTACCAAATGAATTAAATTTTTATTTGGCCTAGAGATTTTGCTGTTAAAATATTGAACCAACCAAGAATTGTGTTAAGTTTATCTGCAAACATGAAAAATTATGTTAGTAGTATATAAATGTTTATTAATTTATGTACTATGTATAGGTACAGTGGATAGTAATACATCATAATAAAACATTAACAAAACGTGCATTGTCATGTTTTATATTTTAAGCATATTCGTCAAAATATTTCCAAACATTCTAAACTTGTATCTCAACTTCAGGCCCGTAGCCTGGATTTGCCAAGGGGGGTTCATTTTTCAAAAAATTTCCAGGGGGGGTTCACATTTGACAATTTTTGCCAAAATATGGCTTAAATCACTCCAACCCATCTGAATTGTGAAATAACTTTAAAAAATCTGAGATAGTGGCTGAATTCCAATGAGCGCATGTGTGACTTTTATGAAAATTTTAATGGTTTCGATTATTCACACAACGAGACATCCATTGATAATTATATTTAATTCAGAGAAACAAAATACAGGAGTTGATAACAACTAAAAAGAAAATCAGCAATATTTTTCAAATTTTTTGTATGTGCACTTATTGGAATCTTTAACTATTTCTAAAATTTCGCACTGTGTACTAGTTGGAACGTAAAAAATATTGAAAAAGTATAGAGGGGTCGTTCAACAGAAATCTCTGCCGTTTGAATGCAGCTCAGTAAAAAGTAGAATTCGGTCAATCAGAGCATTTTAGAGAGAATGGTCGATTAACTTTTGACAACTTGAAATTATCATCTTTTAACAATTCTTCACAATTAGTACTCATGCATGGAATGTTTTAATTGTAGTTTCTTTATTTAACACAAATCCATGTATCAAAAAGCAAAAGCCTTTTCTGGGTCACCGCGAATGGCATGATTTCCTCGAGTCTCTTCAGTTGCATGGCAACCATACTGGGACCGATTCGCGTCGTTCCACTACTGCCCTTGGTGGGGGCCCGCTACCATACTATATGACTCCCGGAGTTTACTAAAGCACGTTAGTGGAGGAACCAACCACAGTCTCACAATCTGTCTCCGGCAAGAGCGGCCAGAGAACCAACCCATGCCAAGGGCCGGTAAACGGTTGGACCTTCGGACCGGATGTCCGTAGTGACAATGATCAACAACTCCGTACCTGGGGCTCGAACGCGGGACCTCCGTATCCCACGACGTTCAACCGCAAAGTAGCCTCAGTCTACGCCACTAGGCTACCCTGTTTAGGTGTTAGAACTGCTAAAAAATAATGTAGTTGTTATAATTATTTTGCTTTGCTGAACATGGAACTACTACCCATGCTTAATTAGTCCAATCTCTAAATGGTTTAATCGGGATAGAAGTTTGAAAGCAGTTCCAAACGACCTCCAATTCAAGATTCACCATCAACTCTTGCAAATGTGTACGGGCTGTAAATTGATTATATAAATAGATGGTAAAAGAAATCGAGATCCAACTTTGAATATCAGGAAGGGGAAACATTCCAATTATAAGACTTATTTGGAACGTTGTTGCATTTGTGCTCAAATATTAATTACGTCTCAAAGAAAATGAAAAGGTAACACCAGCTGACGAGTGAAAACAACGTTCTGTATAAAGATATGCCAATATTGGTCAATACCACGATAAGTGAATAGATTTGGGTGATTTGTATCAAGGAAAAATTAGCTATTATGGCAAATTACTTCAAGAACAATCCGATTGCGTTAATTACGAACACGGGATTACGACATGTAGAAGGAATCGTATTCATATATTTCAGATTCACTCCATTTCTCAGTGATCTGAAATCGGTTCAAATGAGTCGAGAACAAAATCAATAAAATCATAGTTTTTTTTTAATTACTTGAAAAAACATTTGGCCTCGGATAAAACTGTCTCTTGTCATAGTCGACCCTGTCTTCGACGTCAAAAATATCAGAGACATAACATATCTTCAGAGACATGTTTTATATAAGTTTATGACGTTGCCTGGCACATGTGAACCTTTTAGATCAAGAAACTAAATCACAGTTCCACAACTAGTTACTTTGACGGAACATCAATGTAACAAAAGTGATGGTATTAATGCATGAAATACAACTTTATTTCAAAATCAAATTCCAAACCGAGAGTTTCTAAAAGCTAGACTATATTGTCTAACTTTGTGGCAAATGATAATTCGCAACATGACTTGTGAGTTTAAATCGAGAAAACAAAAAACTCGTATCCAGGAAGTTCATCCTTTTTGTTACATTGACGTTCCGTCAAAGTAACTAGTTGTGGAACAGTGTAAATATTAGGAATAAGAAGAGATTGAAGGTGTAAACTTTTTAAAGCAATCTCAAAAATGCTAATGTTTCCCTTCCAGTTCAAACCATAGGTCTTGGGCCGATAAAGAGAAGTTAGTATAAACACAATTTGATTTCCCTGTCCTCTTTATTAAAAAATACTATCGCCCCTAATAGCCTAATGTCCGATATTCGAGAATTAAAAAATGTTTTATTTCAAGTTTATGCTCATCTCGAAAAGTATTCATGTTTTCTTGAATCGATACTTCGTCTACGTCTGCCGTCACCTTGTTTTAGATCCATGTATCATTTTGTTGGTTATAATACCTATCTAATAGTACTTCAACTGAGTCCAGAGCTCCCTCCATCCATTGTGAATTACTATAGCAACTCCCAACAATGTGCACGTTTGCATCTTTAAAAGGTTTGATCATTTGTTTGGAAATGATTTCCAAGTTAGCACCGGCCTTCCAGGAGTACAGAGATGCCCCTTTCCAATAATGCATTACGCCTGTGTACGGACGTGCTAGTTCTTCAGGACGTAGCTGATGTACCTCTGCAATCTGGTTATGGGCCTCAACTAAAATTGCCTCTGATATGTTGTATTCACTTACAAGCATGTTGGTAGCTTGAGGCGTGGCTAGGTGTGGTTGACTATTTAAAAAAGAGTCATCCCAGAATGAAGCACGTGGGTAACCTGAGTTTACCAACAACATTGATTTCCTGTTACCGTCTTGCAATGTATAATCAGAGGAGGGTTTACCTTGACCCATGTATAGTATCTGATTGACAGAAAGGGTGGAGACAGCCCTCCCTGTTGCGAATCCTAGTTTATCCCATACTTGGACGTCTTAAAGGTACATAAAGCCGGTGTCAGAGTAAATATAGTCTCCCTGAATATATGGTCCGTAGGACCTTACACCCTAGGACACCAGGTCCTCCGGACCAGGTGTCCTAGGGTGTGTGGTCTTACCCGGACCATATTTTCTGTATTGGTATACAATATAACCCCGGACTATATTTGCTATATTTCTAAAATTAGATTCCCTTGGTTTTGGGTGAATCTTATTCGATAGTGCAATTCATTTAACCTTCAACATTGAACTCATAAATCTTATGGTTTTTGCAATTGTCCATGCTTCAATCATTTCTGCGAGAGCCATCATGGATGCAACAAGAAAAAGGGTGGACATTATACGCAACATCTCAAAATGTTACCCACATGGTTCATCTGCCAATAAAAAGCGAGCAATAAGGAGGGCAGCTAAAAACAACTACAAAGTGAGTTTTATGCATTTCTCATGGAATTAAAATATGAAGCATTGAGGTTGTCCTGTTTGTTCATAATCTTGATGCTCTCCTCAATAGTGACATGTAATTTTTCAAATGTGAACTCCTTCCCCACATTGCCCATGGCATATCTTTCAGTTGTGTACAAAGATTGACCCCCATAGGTTTACAGGTTAAATTATGAGGCCTGGTTGTATTATCTTTAGCTTTCAAAAATATGACCAAGGATGAAAACGCAAGGAAATACATGTACATCAATGTGATTAATTCCTCGTTTTGAACCGAAAATTAACATGACAAAGTCTACTCCCCTCGATAAATTATTTAATTAACATCTAAACTGTCTGTTAATACGCCCTATCGTCATTATAAATATCACATTCAATTTCATGTTTTGGTGCAACAATGAAAATTTCATATTAACAGCTTGAGAACGGAATATTATACTTCAAGATGGCGCGGAAGATTGGTCGAGATCAATATATTTGAGAAAAGGGATAATGATTGGAGGAAGGTCATTACTGATCTAGAGGAGAGGAAAGATCTACTAAAAAGCATGCACTCTTCCAGACTGGGTATGGGACTTTGGATTTGTGTAATAGCACTACTATTGTCTAAAACGTACATCTCAATAATTGTTAAATACAGAATCTTGAATACGTATACTCTTTTGGAAGTAAAACACATTTGTATTAAACAAATACTGGATGACCATGAGGTGGATATGCCAGAATATCTATCCGAGGAAAAAATACTAGGCGAGGCGAAGCCGAGCCTAGTATTTTTTTTTTCGAGGACATGTATTCTGGCATATCCACCTCATGGTCATCCAGTATTTATTTTATTATGCCCCTCCCTTGAGAGATACTTTATTTTAAATAATGGGTGTAGAATGCGCCCAACTTAGCCGTCCGTGCTGAAATGGGATGGACTACTCCATATGAATGGCAGATACTGGCAGCAGTTCGCTATAGGGACCGTTGTCTATCTCTCGACGAGACCAGGCTTACAAGGCGCGTGTATAATTGGAATTTATCCTTTGGAACTACTCGTAAACATAATAACTGGTTTTTAACCTTAACAAAATATTAACTTCGGATTTAGCAGTACCATTTGACACTTCGAAGGACGAAATAGCTTCCCATCTACGGATAGAGGCTTCACAAGATTGGCACCGAAACATTTGGAATGATGGTCAACGCCCACCCGGCCAAAGAAACAAGCTTAGGACATACCGCACATTTAAACTTTATACAAAGCCCGAGGCTTATTTGAAGTCTGACATAACCCTTTCGTGTAGACGGGCATTTGCTTCAGTCAGATGCGGTGTGGCACCATTACGTATAGAGACTGGGCGCTTTGAAAGACTACCAGAACATGAAAGACTGTGTGTTTTATGTGACACTGGCTCAGTGGAAAATGAAAAGCATTTTATGTTGGATTGTGCTTTTTATAACGACTTAAGGTCAAACTTGTTCAGAAAAATTGTATGTCGACTCCCTGCTTTTCTTCACATGGACAGAGATTTGAAATTTTTTAACTTAATGAGCAACACCAGTATTTACCTATATGTTGCAAAGGCCTGTGGCCAAATGCTTAAACTTCGTGAAAATTATCTATATAAATGATTTACATGTATTTATAGTGTCCTATAGGTCGTTGTCGGCCTGGGGTGTTTTAATTGTATTTTATATGTTTTATGACTCATGACACTTTAATAAAATAAAATAAAAATAAATAAATAAATAAATAAATAAATAAATAAAACAGAAGCCGAGCCTAGTATTTATTTTTCGAGGATAGGTATTCTGGCATACGGGATGGTTGGAGATCTCGTTGCTTCAATACTGGGTACAACGAGATCTGGCTGCCACGTATGGCAATAGACCCTGCAGCTCTCAACCAATCAGATTTGAGTATTTTAATGAGGTGCATAATGAATTCAATTGTAAAATAAAACGTTCTTCTAAATTAATAGAATGTGAAAATTAACGCATATATATACAAAACGTAGCAATTTAACATCGAATAAGATATCATTTGGAAAATAAATAGATGGTTTTTTTCAAGCGTCTCATTTTTTGGAATCGAAATCCATATTTGCAGGTAGTCATTTTGGTAGGGATAAAACATATGATAAGATAAGTAGGACATTTTGGTGGCCAAATCTTATAAAAGATGTGGCGGAATATATACAGGGTGGTCCAAAAAAATGGGACACTCGTATTTCGAAAATAGATATTGATTTTCTTGATGAAAACATGTCATATTATATACCAGTGGATAGGGAATTTACTTATCTTTAATTTGGTATATCATTAGTTCAATTTTATTTTAATGTCTGTCAACCAGCGTCCATAATATAAATGACGTCATTTTCGTTTAAAAACGGGTTTTCCAAAACTAGCAAAAACCAAGTTTTATTGTCAACTTTATTTACATAACCAGATGTTCAATATGTCCACCATTTTGATCAATTGTAGCCCTCGACTTTGGCCTTAATTGGTAAATAGCACCATTCATATGCTGTTGAGACAATGAATTTTACTTCTCAATAATTCTGTCCTTAAGGGACTGAATAGATTTGTGGTATACCAATTCTGTCAGTCCTCCCCATACGTGGTAGTCGCAGACGTTGGGTAATCGGGTGATCTGGGCGAGACAGTGATTAAGGGGGTATGAATCTAGGCACATTTTCTTTTAAACATTTGACACTCTTGTGAGATCTATTGCTTGGAGCCCCATCTTGATTCGAAAATGAGCTCATATCAGGATGGTCCAAAAACAACATAATTGGATCATCCGATGTCAACATCTGCGACTACCGCGTATTTGGAGAACTAACAGAATTGGTTTAGCATGAACCCCTTACATCTACTCAGTCAGACAGTCCCTTAAGGACGGACCGGAATTATTAAGAAGTCGAATTCACTGTCTCAACAGCATGTCAATGATGCATTTGACCAGTTTAGGCCAAAATTGAGGGCTATAATTGATCAAAATGGTGGACATATCGGGAGTCTGTTTATGTAAATCAAGTTGACAAAAAAACTTGTTTTTGCAAGTTTCGGAAAACCTGTTTTGAAACGAAAATGACGTCATCTATATTATGGACGCTGGTTGACAGACATTATAATAAAGGATGATTCTCGGTTTGGAGAACGAAGTTCATCACTCTAATTGAGCGTTATCCCTGCTTCTGACCAATTTGATTTTTTTACATAATATAGATTTGAATGTCTTCTTTTGAATAGTCTTAAATTAATTTGGGTAATATTTCTAGATTTTCCATCAAAAAATTACTAGTGAACCACCCAACGTCGCTTTTATGATTCGTACCACTTTTTTAACTTGATGTATTGCATATTTCCGTGGGTCAATTTGAGAAAAAAGACAAACAAAGCGTACAGGGATATGTCATGAGCATATCATGAAAAAATCCTTTCAATATGTTTTTAAGAAACATTCGAAAATAATTCATTCTTAAATCGTGTCCCATTTTCGAGATATTCTCTGACATTTTATACACATTCATCCAATAGAGGGCCTCTCAAAAGAGCGACTTCAGATTTTTGGCATTTTACAAGTCATATATAAAATTGATTAATCATCTATTAATTAGATGTCACCACTTGCTATGAACTATGCTAGTGGTGAATATAAGCTAGTCAATTGCTGTGAGCTGGAGAGGGTGTATTTATATCACTTCTATCCTACCACGTGATTACGTGGTCGATGGGGATTTTTTGCTAATAATACACTGAAAACTGCCTGATGAATCTATACAATATATAGTAGAACACTTGGAATAAACATGTATGTAAAATCTAGTATAAGCTTACATTCAGAAATATGGAAATAAACAAACGTCCTTCCTTTACAGCTTCACTGTAGCCTGTACTCCTTTAAAGGGATACATCAATGAGTTAAAAATAAAAAATCGGTGTGGAGAATGGACGGGGAATCGAAACACAATTCAGTGCGTAGGAGGTGAGGAACTTGCCACAAGATTACGCCTCTTTCTACCTCTCTCTTCCTGATTTAAACCTTAAAATTCGCCCAAGCATCGATCAACGTGGTTATTATAGCTATAAATAACACGTTCATTGTTCAACCAATCTCCAATAAGCCGTTGATGAGAGATAGTCTAGAGAGATTAAACAACACTTAGAAACACCTTAGAAAAATGGCGCCCGTATATGATTTTTTTGTGTTCTTTTCTGTTTATCAATACAATTTATATTTTGACACGATTGCGATAAAACGTATACCTAGAAATGTATGGCTAATTACCATAAGCGACTGGTAAATGTAAAAGTTGTTTGGTTTATCATATAAGAATCTGTAATAAAACCTCGATTGCCAAAATGAAACCATCGATTATGTTCAGTATGTTGCTATATATAATAAAAGTTTCCAGTCTTTTTTCAGTTACCATTAAACAGAGTCATTAGTCATTTTGGATTTGCTAGATTGATGATGGCATGGGTTGTTCTTTTTCAATTTCAGCAATAAGTTAATCCTTT